ATTTCGTGAAAATAAATGCCTGATCCATGCATTTTTCCCTAATTACAACCTGGACTTACCATACAGAGAGCAAGAGGATGTTCTTGGAGTCACATCTAGGCGAGGAGAAGATGGAGTGTTCCTCTTTTCAAGCCTTCAAAGCTTGCGAGAAAATAGGGTTGGTCTGCTTGAAAGGGTTTTAAGAAACCGACCCGACCCGACCCGACCCATATTCATTTTAAAATTGTTTCACCCGACCCAACCCAACCAAACCCAAAATAATTTTAAAACTGGCCCGACCCAACCCAACACAAGTCAGGTCGGTTCGGTTTAGCGAGCTGCGATTTTTTGGCCCACTCCTACAGATGCCCATGCTCGTACTGGGCTTTGGGTCGCCCCAATTTTTTCAACAACCCAATACTAAAAAAAAAACAAATGGGCCAATTATTTGGCCTAAACTGTATAGCCCTACAATCCATTACAATACGCACATGCAAGGTTGCATCAACAGAGAATTGAGAAGCTCTAGCATCCACGCCGCACGTCCTTGCATCCCCCACACCTGATGAGTTTTCTCTAATTTCTTGAATTGAAGAGTTGGAGTTGAAGAACTTCCCTTTCTCTCCCTAAAACACTTTGATTTCTCTCTCTAGGATGGTTTTTTTGGGACAGTGAGATTAATTTAGGAGGTAGATTTGTGTTGTATTGTAATTTCTATTGTTCGGTGGTCGGTGGAATCTTAAAGTAGAGCTATAGAGGCAAAGGACCAAATGGTCTCCATTGTCAAGTGAAGCAGATCTTCTTCGGCGGGTGATTTTTCTTAATTGGTATTGTTTCCAATGTATTGAATAGTTCTAGTGTTTTTGCTTTATTTTTATTTATCTTTGAGGAAGCTAGAAGCTTCTTCAATCTATTGTTTGTTTAACAATGAATCTATATTGATATGCTGGGAACAACAACTATAATGTTGATTAATATTTAATTCTCAAGATGATTTTCCTACAAACTATTTGATACAACAAGGAAATATCGTTCCTGTTTCAACTTGGCATTTCCACTTTGCATCTTAAACGTGCTTGACAGCTTGAGTCCATCCTTTATATGCTAGTTGGGAAGAGAGACTAGAAGATTGGGATATCAGTACTTGTATTTTGCAGTAATCTTATTACAATTAGTCAGTGAAAGATTTTATAAAAGAAAAGCTGTTGAGGTTGCACAAAATGTTAATGATGAGACATCAGATGGAGACGATTTTGATGTTGTACAACTTCCCATTGATCCTAAATTAAGGACTCTAATCTTGAATTACAATTCTAACATTAGAGATCAAATGGAGATGATTTTTTTACTTTTACTAGTACCGCCCGCACTGGAAAAATTTCCTGGGTCCGTCCCTGATGTTTTTGCTATTTAATTTCATGCATGTTCTATCTCTGAATATTGTTTTTAAGTAATGACTGATTTTCATAAAAATGTAGGTAAAGATATATTGTTATCAAAGGGGGAACTAAAATTAATGGCTTGTTTGTCAAATATTTTGTAAGTCATTTTTCCCACTTTTTAACCATACATTCTTTAAGAAAATCATTTTTGATTCGAAAAACCTGTGCCTACATGTTTTAAATTTCACGGGGAACTAGACAAGGGCTTTTCAGGATGGCTAAATCCTTTTTTTTGGACCAATTTTACGAAGTAAAAATTCAACCCAATTTAATCTCATAAAGGGCTGTCCAAGCTAAATTTATGAAGTTTTTTCATTCAAATTAATCCCACACTATTGATATAATTTGTCTTCTCATATAATTGTCCATGCCAAAATCAATTGCAAAAGATAAGGCTCTTTCAATACGAAATCAAGTTCAGATGATAATAAAGAATTTATAGATGCAATGTAAAAGAAAAGCTATGTTACCATCTTGAAAATAAGTTTCTCATACTTCCATCCTTTCAATAGGTAAAATGTTTTTCAAGAAGACAAATTAAACCAAAAAAATTTAAGACACTGCGAGAACGACAAAGAAATTGTAATATTAGTTCTTAAGAAATACGTGTAATGGTTTCCTTCACGTGTGCCATGGCTATGGCTGCTATAGAAATAGGCATTGTTGGGTACATATTCTTTAAAACTCATTTTCAAACATACATTTTTCCAATAAAATAATTTTGTATGTATCCATAATTTTCTTCTACTTTTAACCACACATTTTCTAAAATAATCACTTTTTATATAATTTATTCTACGAAAAGAACATTCTAAAAGTCATAGAATATTTTCTAAAACGCATAATAATTGTAGTGATTAGTTAAAAAGCATGGGTTTCTTTTCTATTACTTTATGAGAATGGAAAAATTATGTGTTATATTGCTATAGGGTACATTTAAAGTATATTGTAAATAATCTCTCAAGACTGGAATTAATTGTTTATATTTATATGGTTAGAAGTTAAAAGCCGTTTCATTTATAAATTATTTTGTGTCAAATTCATTATATTCTAATATATAAATTTGGAAGCATTTTCCCAATGGCGGGCTCTCTCAAGTTCTAGAAGGATAGATATAATCAGTGTTCTAAAATGCGTAATGCGTTGCGATGCGTCGAGGTCGAGAATCAAGAATCACAAGTTTAAGTGTGTCAATGCGGAGAATAAGCGTCATAATGTATTTA